CAATCCAGACAACTTTTTTAATGTGGTTTTATTCCCCTCAGAGTATTAATGAAATCACATGATTTTTTTTTTGGGGGGGGAGGTCATTTCCCAGCTATTTTCTGTTAATTTCTTCTTCATTAATGGGATTCGTGCCTTCAGGTAATTTAGTGAGATCTTTTTTACCTATCTGTAAATGCATTTAAAGTAACAAAGTTAATATTTTTCTATTGAGCAGTGCTATGTTTCAAGTATGTATGCAATAAAATTTGAGCATTTAAATATTTCCTAGCCAAGGAGAAATGCATAAAAAATCATTTATATGCATACATACATACATGTTTGTAATAAGTAGATTCAACTCAATTTCTATAGCCGAAATCTTTTTTTTCGTTATTCTTTTCTTTCGCTTAAAATTTTTAAAGGTTGTGCAAATTGCATGAAAATGGTTTATTTTATGGGTGTCCCCTCAAAATGTAATAATAATACCTCAACTACCACGAAAACTCTAAAACATTTGTTGAACTGAAATTCATTAAAGATTTTTGTATGTATAAATGAAAAGAATATTAAAAATGGCGCCGCTGTGGTGTAGTGGTTAGCAGTGTGCGCTACCACACCGCCGGGCCTGGATTCAAGCCAGGGGTCAAAGCAACACCGCAAAAAATATAGAAAAAAGGTTTTTGTTAACAGCGGTCGCCCCTCGGCAGGCATTGGCAAACCTCTAATCGTGTGTAAGCGCCAATCCATTATTATTATTATATTAAAAATGTACTCTACTTGTTTCATATTGATCACTATATCTCACTACATATTTATGGATATAGGAGTTCTTATTATGCATTTGCCTACTGGGCATATCCTTTATCAGTATCAAGCTGTAATCTAGCGTTAGAATATAAAAAGCAGCGGGTATAGTAAACGCTAACACATGCACACACTTAAACAAAAGCAGTATTACACACACACTATCGCACAATTAAATGTTCCACAATATAAAGTACACTATACAAATATTAAATGTATGTACGTATGTATGTATATACACTATAAAATAATTTATATTCTATGCGAACTGTCTTCAAATGATTCTTACTTCTTTAATGTTGTCTCAAAATGAACATTTTAATTAATTTTCAATTGTATATACAAATTTTATTCAAGATGCACTTAAACAGCAGCTTCAGCACACTTGAGCAAAAAAGAGATTTATTTTCTAGTTTTTAGTTTTGAAACAACTTCAGAGCGTGGAAAATGAATATACACCCAAGCTTAAAATTTGCTTAATTTCATATTAGCTTAAAGAACACACTTATGTTAAATATTTCGCTCCTTTTCGAAATACATGCTTGTTGTCTAAGAAGCGTACATACATATTTATATAGCTGTATGGTCGAGTATTAGAAACTCTTATATATTTTTCTTTTTCAAACCCTCTCAGTAATGAACATGTTATTTTATTATTATACTTATTAATTCGTTATAGAAAATAATGTTATATTGTGGCTTCTTTTATAAATTTTAGGTTAGATAAACTTGTATGCCACAATTTGGGCGTTCGTCTGGGTTTAATTGTGCGTTCTATGTTCTCTACAGTTAATCGCGATAAATTCTTTATAAATTCTCTTATTTTGTTATATTACTTGTGCATCAACCCAATATTTAGAGGATGCGGCGAAAGAGCTGAACCGAAGTGTCGTGACCACTACATTTTAGAAGAGATTGAAGTCGACTATATCAAAATGGGCGATTTTTCAAAAGCTTCTATAAAGAGTATCTTCGCATAGTTTTCTAATGCTACATCTTTTTTTTTGCATTTCTGTGCATATCTTATTGAGAGTGATGCATTTCAGAATTCTTTACAATAATTACTTATTTTTCATGCGACTAAAAAAATTTCTGCCTTGTGTCCATCAAATACAGAAACTATTTTTCTACAGGGAATTAAGTGATTGCAAGTGGTACGTAAATAAATAATATAAAAAAACTTTTTAATATACAACGCTTTTATAAATGGACTAAAAAGTAGAAAATAATACTTCTCAGTCCCATAGAATTTGTTTTGATAACTTTTGATTTTGAAATTTTAGCAAAAGTCATTATAAACAATCTATGAAATGAAAAACGTGGAGCGCATGCAATACAAAGCATTCGATTTAATTGACAATAGTCAAACTACATAACGTAGACCTAAAATTTCTACAGCGAAAGTAGAACTTTGGAATCGATTTTAAGCGGTCGTTATTCATATACCCACATACATACATACATATATTACTTTTCATATCAATTCAAGTGTATTACATGCGCCCCACGCTTTTCATTTTCAATTTCATAGATTGTTTATAATGACTTTTGCTAAAATTTCAAAATCAAAAGTTATCAAAACAAATTCTATGGGACTGAGAAGTATTATTTTCTACTTCTTAGTCCATTTATAAAAGCGTTGTATATTAAAAAGTTTTTTTTATATTATTTATTTTCTACTTTTTAGTCCTGTCTGAATAAAAGTTTGCAATAGATATTAAAATAATTCAACGATATTAATAGAAAGGTGCACACACATGCATTTACATATGTATGTACATACAAACGAGCACCAATTAATTTTATTTAAAGAATGGCGTGTCGTCTATTTCCGGTGTAGCAAACGTAGTACATAGGGCGACATCTAGATGTCATCTACCTCGCCCTATTCACTATGCTTTTTTATAGGAGCTTTTCAAAGGTTTGCTTTATGGTGTCGGACACACAACATTGAAAGCTTCTGGAACACAACATTGAAAGTTTCTGGAACACAACATTGCAAGTTGATAAAAGCGTTGTAAAAAGGAAACATATATTTTTTATCCGAGTCGCCTTTATGATCAAGTAAGTTTCCCTCAATTATTGCATCGAAATTTGCAGTTAAGGGTAAAGAGATTTGATTGATTGTGGTTGTGACAAAATTTCACATGTTACTATCCTACTTATAAAATATGAAAATCCCACCGTCGCATGAGAAGTCTAAAATGCGCCCTTTTCCCAATTTTATATCTGAACTCACACTCTCACCGATGCATTCGGTGGGGAACTAATTTTGGTGGCATTATTCATATGTATATGTACATACGCATGTTTGTATTAAAGGTTTTTATGTATTTCTTTTTTTCTAATGGGTTTATATGGGTTCAGTCCACTTATTTAGAACATCAAAAGCAATGATTGCAACGGACTGCCAAGGCTACATTTTTTGTGGTATCTGCCAAATTGCTTAACCATATAAATACATATATTATTAATAGTGTTTTAAGCGTTTAGGGTTTTGTTTCGCAAAATATTTGAATTCGAAATTAACAACAAATTACAAGATATTTATAGAATAATTGCATATGTCACAACAAAAGATTCAGTTAATTGTTTGCCGGTACCTTAGCAACTGTAAATACAAATTCTGAGGATTTTTGAAATATGCGATTGTTGGTGCCTACTTCTGGCAAGGTTAGCTTCTTACTAAATATATATATATATTTTTGTTGATAATTAAAAAATATTTATATTGCTTCAACTATCAAATATCACGCAAATAATATGCATATAAAATTTTTAATTTTAATTTTATCGTGTATATATTAGTACTAATTAAAACGCACGAATTCTTACATTCGAGAGCCTTTCTGCTGTAGCACCTTAGCGCGATCGTTTAATTCCAGTTCACGGCCCGACGATGAACCGCATTCTTTTGATACTACGCATAAGAATTCGTTATTTTCGAATGGTCCATAATTTGTATACTGCATGCCAACGCTAATTAATTGTTCAAAATGCCAACCATCTGATAAAGTTGAGATCATCTGTGTTTGTGCAAATATATAATTCCATTAGTTAAAATTTTAATTAGTAATGCATAAATGTCGAAATTACTTGTGTTAATTCCTGTTCTCGACACTGCAACACACGATATACACGTTTTTTATCAGCATGTGGTCGCTAAAATAATGAGAGAAAAACAATTATATTTCTGTCGTGTAGTGTTATATGAATATGTAAAGCCCACCTGATCTCTATGATTTATACATTCCTTCAGTAGTGTTATCAGCTGTGTCACATTGTAGAATTCAGCTTCTTCTAGAACTCCTTCCTCGGAAACGCCATCTAAAACCAATTTACCATGCCGCAAATAGTTCAGCACTGGCGCAAAATATTTTGGGTCTCTATCAATCAGGTAGGCGCCTGTTTCGTCCTACAATTGCATGGTGTGTATAAATGGTTAATTTATGTACTGTGAAAACTTTTGCAATTCGCGTGCATAAGTATATTGAAAGAATACCAAAAAAGATAAAATATTTGAGCTTATTTGGTTTGACTTTGAACTACTTAAATTTTAAATTGGGGCGCTTTACTGTTTATGTATGCAGCTGTCTACCTTGCCACCCTCAATCATGTCTACCTCAGAACAATAACCTACATACTAGGTGCATACACACATTTGTATTTATGCACATTTATAGGAAAATATTTGTGTGCAACTTAATGATTATGCACACAAAAACAAGTCAGTGTAATCTGGTGAACTATCATGATTTGCTAAATACTGCAGCCGCAATTGTTGGCATAACTATTTCAATCCATTTTCTTACCCGATCAGATATTAAATCACAATCCTCTTGTATAAGACGTGACAGAAACGAATTTGGGTCACGGGAGAGCGTGGTCTTTGTTGTTAGAAAGTATGTGCCACCCACATTAAGCTTCACCCACTGGTCTGTGCCCTGCTTTTTCAGCATTGGACTTTTTCGTGAATTTATATTTATTGTTGTCATAACTATATCACTCTGAGCGGTCCGCAACAGAATTATAGTGTTATGCTTTATTAACCTCACTTTCAACGATACTTTATTGGAAAGAATATCTGTAAAGAAATGAGACCACAATTAGTAAATATAAAAGGCTCCGAGCAAAAAACTTCAAGGATTCCACGTGTATGTTTGTACACCTGGAGTTCGCAGTACAGAGTATGTACGTACCTTGGAGGATTGGTTCGTTACTGCACAATTGGTTGCAATGTAAATGCAAGAATTTCTGATGCAGCAAAGGCAATAAGTAAATGTTAACGTTCAGCAGGTATGGAATGTTTTCTATTTCTCTACAAAGAGCCTTATTACCCGAACAAAGATGCAATTGACGGGCGTTCTCAACTGCAATTTTATTACTCTGTTAATTGATTCAAAAACAATTATCATCCAAACCCACTTAAGAATGGTTTGTTTTATGTCTGGCAGAGTATATATGTATGTCCTTTATCTGTAAAAACATTCACAAAAGTTTTCAGAATCAATTCCGCCACCGATTATTTTATTTCCCTTTTTATTTGTTGAAAACACAGATTAAATTCTTTTCACTACTCGCTCTTTTTTTTATTTGCTAAATTCTTTTCACTCACTTCTATTTCTTCTAATTAGGGATGAAACGATACGAGTATATACAAGTACATATGCGATACTTTTCGTTCGATACCAAAATTTCGATAATTGCTTTTGAACCAAGTACAGAGTAGGTATCGAAAAACAAATACTTGTATCGAAACCCGATACTAAGGCAAATTTGGCTTCGTCAATTTTTCTTCCATTCTTAAGCGCATTGTTGTTGTTGTTGTTGTAGCAGCATACAAATTCCCCAAAGACTTTTTGGGGAGTGTTGCTGGAGTGACAGTCCTTGGCCAGATATAAATCTGGGTCGTTCCGATTACGTAGACCCGGCTGTCGTGGGAACGTAAGCGCATTGTTCTTCATGTCTACTTAATTTCCAGCAAAATCCGCGAGAAGGCGACAAATTCGAAGTCTAGCTCTGTTATTTTAAGAAAAGAAAAAAAAAACACAGTTGATTAAAAAAAAAAACTTCTTATGCATGGATCACACGATCTGTACATTTGTACAAATTTGTGATATTTGACAGTTATAGAGTGTGGTTATTTGGAAGTTTTTTTGTTGAGCTAAACTTATTCTCCATCAAACCAGATATTCGTTAACTTATGACTTAAATAATTAAATTTAACTTGCTTAGGTCTCACACCCGATTTACATGATTCAAGTACTTGAAAGCAATTCTTGCTCATCCTCTTTTATGTTTTCTATTTTCTTTTACACGTTTCAGTTCTGTTGAATTCATGTTTGGTTCTTTAAATGGGAAGCAACGAAAATGCCAAAAGCAAAGCAAGAAAGTTGAAACGACTTGACGGTACAGACGCATGTGTACTCGTCCCATTTCTTCTCACCCCGTCTCTTCCACATGCGAGCAGAATTGAATTCAATACTTGAACTGTGTAAAAGCAGTCATACGGAATACCTCCATAGCCAAAACTTTGATATGAGTAGGTATCGATACTATAGATCCGATATTTTTTAGATATCGATACAGTGGCCCGTAGTCATAGTCAAAATAAAGTCGACTTTAAAGTTAGTTGCAGCTTTTTGACATAATTTTCAATGGGATATCTGTCAAAAAAGCTGCAACTAACTTTAAAGTCGACTTTATTTTGACTATGACTACGGGCCTTTATTTCGCTATTACTTCCCATGAACCAACTAACAAGATCACGCAATCGGAAAAGAATGAAAAAAGTAAATTTCTGAGCGTTTTTGACATCTGCCTAAAAATGAAAACAAAACAAATATAAAAAGTGAAACTTGATGACAATTAGCAAAAAAAGTTCATAAAATATGGTTTTAATGATTGAGAGTGTTTTACAATCGCATATTATCGGCACCGGCCGATTTTTCAATGCCAACGTTCTGACCACAAATGTGCACCCACTTTTCACGCAAATTTACGCCTCTTGGCAAATCAAACAGACGCACAAACTTGTTCCAATCACGAAGCACTTCATATTATATCATAAATTTGTAATAAATCAAAATTTCTAATTAAAACCGCTGCAGAAAACACATAAAATCGCTAAAATATCACTACGAAGAGGTAGAAGACGATGTAAACAGAACCAAAAAACATCAAAAAACGCTACGAAAACTTTTTTCTGAAAATCGATTACAAATACAACGATGGCGGATTACGTGATCTGTAGTCGTTGGTTCATGATTACTTCCAAGTAAAGGTATCGATACTTGCATGGTATCGTTTCATCCCTACTTCTAATACTTTTGTTACTCAGAAAATGCAACCCTGCAGTCGGTTGTTCGCCCATACTCTGGCATCACCATTTTCGCTGTTTCTTATGCACATTCTTCGTTGGTTTAGCTGTTTAACTCACCCTGCACTTCCGGTAGTGCATACCAATGACTTCCGGTAGTGAATACCAGTGATTTCGTTTTTGGCCAAGGCGCATCAATTACAGGTGATAGCGATAGAAGCTATGCTTCTTCTTATGAGCACGCTTGTGTCAAATTATCGTCCGTTTTGCTTTATTTACTTATGAACTTATACATACATATATACGTATATATATACCCTGCAAACAAATTTTCCCGAAATCTTTAAGAGTGTCGGAAATCTGTTACGATTCTTTTAGAAATCTGTAAAGAAAAACATATGAAGCAGTTGACAAGAACTAGTAAAGAAATTTCTGTACCATTTCTTAAAGAAAATTCTTAAAAAATTGTGAAACCTTTCAGAATTCTATGAAATCCTGGTATGCAGGGTATACATATACATACGAATATGAATAGATAAAGAAGATGTTGATGACACAAGGAGTTCATACCAACGGTAAATGTTGTTTTTGTACGATTGCTACAACCTGTAGTTGTTGAATCATGGTTTTTGGCTTTCATCCGTCGTCTGAGTTCATCAAGTTCATTCGGATAGGCGCCATATATTTTACTCGCTCTAACGTATCGCAGGGTTGCAAAAGAAACCCCGATATCTTTCAGTTTACCCCAAATCAAAATAGATTGTTATCGATTGTTTAGAAGGTTTTCGTTTTTACTCCATAAATTCTGCGAAATTGATCTTATTTAAAAGTAATCTTAAAAAAATTACGTATGTGTATTTTTACATATTTGTTTAAGATTTCGTCCTTTGCTGGAAATGTGTACTGTGTATATTCCTATTAGAGTTTCTATCGATCACTTCTTATCAGCTTGAGATTTTCGCCAATTCAATATATCTGTAAATTTATTTTATTAATGAATTAAAACGAATTTCTTTACTGTTAATATTACATTTTAGAGTTAAAAAGTACGAAATGATTTAATTAGTTCGTTCCTTGACGACACAATCTGGCTACATTTCCTATTCTACACCCGCCGAATTTCACTTATCAATTATTAATCGAACGGTAAGCACGTAGAGGGTAAAGGTTTTGGTTTTTTACACACATATAATTAAAAAATTTAATGGATCTTTGTTAAATCGAGATTAACTAAATCGAATATATTTCAGTATTTCTACAGTGCTCAGCGAAAGAAAATCAATAAAAATGGTCAGCCAAGAGGTAAATTTTCACTTGCAAACAGGGTGCGGCCACCAATCCTATAAGCGATTATTTGACCTTTGTCTTTTATTTTGCAGGATTTTGATAAAGCCGCCGAGAATGTTAAGAACTTAACTTCTACTCCATCCGATAATGATTTATTGGAATTATACAGTTTGTACAAACAGGCGACAGTAGGAGATATCAACACCGGTGAGACAGCAATAAATACCTAATTACATACGTATTTCACTTATCAAGACAAGTTTATGACTTTAATTCGATTGTGATTAGGCTACATATATGAATCCATCAAGCAATCATATAACTGTTGATTTGTATGTATGTTGGAATTATTATTTAGTAGTTCTAAATTATTTGAAGTTCCCGGGGTTTTGGTAACTCCAGTGTGCAACCTTCAGAATGAATTACCTATTACAATTGGAATACATATAAATTGACGAATAACTAATAATTATTAAATTGGGGGAATAACCTTACATTGTATAGACCGCCGTGTCCCGACAATGGATCTTAGGTCTAAAAAAAGTTCTGAATTAGAACTAAATATGACGTGGCTCGAGTTGTTTTTTGCACTATGAAATATCACCTATGAACTATTAGGTAAAATATTTTTAATTTGCATTCATACCTTTTATTGCAGATAAACCCGGCTTCTTGGACTTCAAAGGCAAAGCAAAATGGGAAGCCTGGAACAATCGTAAAGGTACATCGAAGGATGACGCTATGAACTCTTATGTGGAGAAAGTCAACGCTTTGGTTCAGACCCATGGATTGAAAGCTTAAAAATTATAATTATACATCTGAAATTACGAACCAAAAGAAATGCTATTGAATACCAGTTTAATCATTTACCATTAGATATTCCATTTTCTATAATTGGTATTGAATTTTGAAAATAATCAAACTAATAAGAAAACCACCGTCTGTTTCCGAACGCACGTTTTAATGCACAATTTTCTATCTTTTATTAACATAAAAATAGTCAGCTTTATAAACTTTTTGTATTTTTGAGTGTTATTAAAATATAGACATAACTTAAAACACACTTGTGTAAAATTACTCAAAATATATTTCGAAACAGGAAGGGGAATGTATGAATATCAACATGTCAAGGGGGGTGGATTGTTGGTTTCGAAATCATTTTTATAATAAAATACATTCATATTAGGTCTGCGGGTTCTATGTCGATTTTTTGACTATCTGGATATTCGAATATCGGCATAATCGGATCTAAAAATTAGCAAAAAAATAACAGTTGCATTAATGAAATGCTCATTATCTATTATACAACTCTATTCAGTAATTTTAATAACAATTTTACGAATCCGTTCAAATACAGTTTAGAAAATCCGGACATCCAAATGTACGGATATTAACCAGATATGTGGATAACAAAACGTTCCCACGACAGTCGGGTCTACGTAACCGGAACGACCCAGATTTATATCTGGCCAAGGACTGTCACTCCAGCAACACTTCCCAAAAAGTCTTTGGGGAATTTGTATGCTGCTACAACAACAACAACACCATAACAAAATGAACGGATATTTACCGGATATCCGGATTTTCTCCATATATACGAATATTCAAACGGATGTGCGGACAGACCCAGCCCTAGTTCATACTTTATATGTACTATGTAAATACATAAATACATCTCCGAACTGAGAATTACTGCAAATGAATCTGAGCATTATATCATGCTTTAATGCAAATAATACTTAAGAATGCGACATCGGTACATTGCTAAAAAATACAAAATATTTATATCCGACATTACGTGGCATTAAATGCCTATTGAAATTTCGGCCCATGCCGTCGTGCCTTATTCCTTATATTACAAAAAAAAAAAACTAAATGTAAAGTAAATCATCATTAGTTATTTCCAATTAAGTCAGATGATTGTTCCTTTCCCTCTCCGCGTTAACTTCTTTTGATGACCTTTGCCTTTCGTAGAATTCACGCTGCAATTCGCGTAAGTTAAGTTCTAGGGTTTCCACTACATCAAAATTCATTTCTTGACGCGCTTGCTTTATATATGCTTTTATAATATTTATTTGTTCAATGAGCGGATCTTCGCTTTGCGATATATTTACTGGCTGTGCCGACCAGTTATCCAGCGAACGCAAATCGGACTGTAAAATATAAAGTTGTTAATATTATACTAAAAACACGTCATAAATTTAAATATGTATACCCCATATGCGTAATCGCCGTCATTGTTAGCTTTGTTTTGGAAGTCATTGGTGTTGTTTGCTAAAGCCTGTCGTTCATATGCTTCCATTGCTAGACGACGTTCAGTTTCGATACGTTGTTCAGCTTCCATACGCTTACGATCTTGTATTTTGCGTATTTCTTCCTCTGCAGGCAACGGTGGTATCGAAAGCATTTTATCTTTGATTAGTTGAATGCAAGATAAACGTATTGACTTTTTTAAAGCTTCTTCACGACTACCCTGCTGACAAGGTAAAGCCAATATGCGTTTACTACGCAAATCAATAGCTTCAGCCACTTGACCAATTTTGCCTCGCAATGCACTTGCATCTGCTATAGTGAATATGGACTCCCCTTCGTAAAGGCTGCTAACAATTTTCAAATACATTTCGATGTCCGGCAGCACGTCTTTCCGCAACTGTTGTATATCAGTATAAACTTGAGAAACAAGTGGATGGTATGTTCGACTTTCATGCATTTCTTGCCGGGTTTCTAAAAGCCAGAGACAATGATCGCAACAGCGTATAGCAGTTTGCTGAGGATTTGAGGAATTTGCGTTAACGGAATTTTGCAGCTGTTTTGCGGCATCACTTTGTGACATAGCCAAACTAGCGAGTTGCACTGTAATTTCCGAATAAATTCGACATGTATTAGATGTATAAGGGCCGTTTTTACAGCGACGAGTTAACTCTCATTCAGCAGTGAACTACAGGTTTTGAGTACAAAAATTGAAAGTTAACTGCAGAATTTGAGTAAGCCCACTGTGGAAACGGCACGCGTAAACGGATAAAAGATATAAAGGAACTAGGTACTTACGCGCATTTTCTATTGATAGGAACTTTGAACAGTCATTGCACATAATACTTCCGCAGAGGCGACAGTGATGTTGTCGCCGAGCGATATGGAAATTTTTAGCACAACTGGGGCATAACTTTACAGAACTACCATCTAACCAAGTGACAATCTGCGAATATAAAAGTTTGAGCGCATATATTCTTACTCACATTTACTATTCCCAACACAACGTCTTACATTGCGTTCATGTTGCTTGCGCAGGACCGGATCAGTTGGCAAATTTGTTAATAATTTATGCAAACGTATAATCAATTTGTTTGTTTCACTAGCATAACGTTCCAGTCGAGGGTTCCTTACCGATTGATAATACTCCAAATGATTGCATTCTGCCCCAACCTCCTGGTGATCCATAAAATTGTAAACATTAGTGCGCGTCCTTGCATTGCTGAAATTTATTTTGTTATTAGCAGCGGAGGTTGCACCTGCTGCATTGCTCCCTGAACCACCGCCGCCGGTAGCGCCGCTAATCGTTGCATTTCTTTCTAAATTTCGAGAGAGGTCAAAAGCTTCGTCAATATTCCGTATTTTATTTTTAGCTTTCCAAATTATATCCTTGAAAACAGATTTAAGTGCGTCTTGTTGCTCTGCATGTGCCCTTTCGAAATGCACAGTTAAGAATTCAGCAGACTTTAGGTCTTCCCGACAAATTGGGCAAAGGAATCCTTCCAATATTTCATCGGATTCGTAATCATCTGGTTCACCGAATGGATTCGACATATTGCTCAATTCTTATGTACTATCCTGTACAGAATTCTAGAAAATTCAATTACTATCTTGTCAATATACAAATTTTAATTCCTTTCGCAAATAAATAAAAGAGATGTGTGGGCGTTTTTTGCAACTTCACCAAGCACTCAGCTGATTTGTTTATTAATCGAAATGTTATTGATGTACAAATGCACAATATCCGAGTACTCGCCCATAATAGGGTGACAACTAGGAATGTTCATGGCACGATAATCGGTTTTTTGAATCGATATTCCAAGATCGATATATCGAAGACATCGATACTTTACCCGCAATATCGATATTTAATTTTAATTTTATTTTTCATCTACAAAATAGTGTATGGGAAAATACTGAAGTAGGTTTAATCAGCTGCAGGAAATAACACAATTAGGTGAGTTGATAGGCAGGTCCAGGCAGGTCTAATATTCTATTCAAAAAGCAGCATCTCTGCGGGATTGATTAGTTAACTTGCTAATGGAGGCTGCGTGGAGCAGAAAAAAAATCATTGTGAGGAAATGCTGTTAATATAATAATAGAGACACACTTCGGGAACGGCTTTGCCGTGCCCTATGTACACAAAATGCAGCGATTCCTCCCAGCGCTACACTTGCATCTACGCTTCTTGCATCTTGACGGGTGTCGCAACCCTGCAAAAATCGTTGGACCATGTAGTCTATTTGTGGTAAATTGGAGTACTTACAAAAGTGTTCCTCTGTCATGCTGTAGCGGACCAACTCGTGTCTCTGCGCCAGCTTATTGTTTGTTATCCGATCACTGCTCGTTTTTCAATGAAACGTGATTGAAGTTGAGCATTTGAAAGCACATTTGCATGTCTGGCTGTAGCTGAACGTGTAGAGATGCTCGCTGTTAGTTCTTAGCTCCCAGCATGTTCGGGTTCGAATGCCTCTGACAACATGTAATTTTTAATTTTTGTCTTGGTTTTTATTAATTTCGAAAA